GAGGAGCCGACGCCTCCCGCGGCAGAAAATTCGGGGTGGACGGAGGATCCGGCACGCTGGATCCCCACGTCTTCGCGCGAGTGGTGCTGAAGTTGGGGGGTTCCTCTGGGGAGGGTGGACCCTCCTGACCAGCGTTGCTCACCCCCCCCTCTCTTTTCCAGAATTCCCCGTTTCCAAGCCCAATCTGCTGTCCCGCCTGGACCACGGGGATGAACCTACAGCCCTGCATCTCCACATGCCCAGGGAGACCCCGGCCGCAGGTGAGCCTCTGATCGCGCCTCGACCGCAGCAGGGAGAAACCCTGTGTTCAGCTTCTGCCGGCGTGGAGGTCTTCCCCGCTGCTGACCTCTCCCCGAAACGGGCAAACCCCCACCGTAAGGGCTGCCCGCCATACCTACCCCACGCTGCAAGCCCTGGTTTGGCTCTGGGGTAGAAGAAAGGTGCTGGGGAGGAGAGGCTGTAACGCCAGAGGGATGTCCTGGCCAAAGTGGAAACACCTCAAGGGTGGGTGTCAGGAGGACGGGGCCAGACTCTTTCCAGTGGTGTCCAGCGACAGGACAAGGGACAACGGGCACAAACTGAAGCAGATGAAGGTCCATCTGAACATGAAGAAGCACTTCTTCCCTCTGAGGGTGACGGAGCCCTGGCCCAGGCTGCCCAGGGAGGTTGTGGAGTCTCCTTCTCTGGAGATATTCCAGCCCCACCTGGACGCGGTGCTGTGCAGCCTGCTCTGGGTGACCCTGCTTGGGCAGGGGGTTGGGCTGGGTGACCCACAGAGGTCCCTTCCAACCCCGACCATTCTGTGATTCCTTAGCCAGCCGCATTTCTGGAGGTGCAGTGGAGGTGGATTAATTGCCACGTCCGTGTTGGTGGCAGAGAGGAGCGATGGGGACTGGAGATGCCTCTGCTAGAGGTGCTCACCTGGAAGTGCGTGTGAAATAAAAAAGGAAGAGGGATCCCTCCTCGCTCTCCTGTTCCCACCACCTTCCTGTCTTCCCAGCCCCGGGATGGATGATGTCTCCTGCCTCGGTTGTGTCTGTCTGTCTTTGTGCCCCACAGAGGATGGAGCAGGAGTGGAGCAGGAACCTCCTGGAGAAGATGCTGCTGAGAAAGAGCCCGACGCGGTGAAACCCGTGGGCGAGGAGCCTCCTGCCAGCCCCACCAAGGCTGGGGCGAAGGCGGGCGGGAGTTGGGGACCAGGTGAGACGGCCACGCACCCGGGCAAGAGCCAACCCGGCAACACGTGCGGCGAGTGCGGGAAGAGCTTCAGCCACAAATCTGCCCTGGTGAAGCACCAGAAGATCCACACCGGCGACCGCCCGCACGAATGCCCCGACTGCGGCAAGTGCTTCATCCAACGCTCGGACCTCACCATCCACCAACGCGTCCACACGGGCGAGCGGCCCTACGCCTGCCCCGACTGCGGGCGACGCTTCAGCGTCAGCTCCTCCTTGCTCACCCACCAGCGTACCCACGCGCCCGGAGGGGAGAAACCCAACCGTTGCCCCCAGTGCGGACGCAGCTTTGCCGATCCGGGGGCTCTGGACCGGCACCAGAAGAGCCACTTGGGTGGGAAACCCTACGAGTGCGGGGTGTGTGGGAAAGCCTTCTCCTGGAGCTCCCACCTCGAGCGGCATCGACGCATCCACACCGGCGAGAAGCCCTTCCAGTGCGCCGAATGTGGGCGAGCCTTCGCCTGGAGCCC